CAGGCCGGTAATCCTGTTTACAGACGGAGAGGTAAAATATGATTTGAAGTGAGGAAATATTAAACGTTTTGTCTCAGCTGAGCCCCGACCAGAAGATGAACGATGAAGAGTCCTGCATCATCCAAACTCAGATGTCATCACGTCCTCTGAGAACCTGACGCATGAATTTAACTTCAATACAAAACTTTTTTTCTCATTTCTGAATCTGAGTTATGTAAAAAGAAAAGTTTAATTACCAAACGTATTTATAAAAAGCATCCTTCACGTTGGTCCAGGATCAGCATCGTCGTCTGAGCATCAGTTAGCATTAGCCAAGACTTTGCTACTTAATGCTACTTAAACATTATCACAAGCAAACCGACACGAGCATCGTAAATGATAAAAGAATCATATAAAAGAAAATGAATAAAGAAAACAACATTATGGTTACAGAAACAAAACGAACATGTCTGATTGGCTGGATCGGGACCGACGCTGTTATGATGATACACCTCCGCCCTAGACACCTGCTGCTCCCTGAACTTTATCAGAGCTTGCTTCCTATCAAAGGGGAGTTCTTTCTCCCCACAGTTGCTCACAGTGAATTGTCTAATTGTTGAGGTTTTCTCTCACATTCTGCAGGCTCTTTGCATTATCCATGACCCCGCGGTGAATATGATCGTGAACTGGTGAATAAATTTAAGTTGAATCACAATGTGGTAATCTATTTACATCCCATTCATGAGTTCACATTGTAGGAGAGACGAAAGCAGAGAACTGGAAACCAGCTTGAGCTCACTCTGCCACAAAGTCTCATCAAGTGTTTCCAGTCAGAATGACTCAAATATTCGACCAAAAGTTAATTCTGAGTTTGAAAAACGAACAAATATGCAATAATTCAAAGAATTCATCCTCAGCAGTGAATCAAAATGACTCTGATGACCACATTTTTATGGCGCTGATATTTACAGCTCAGACTTGAGTGTCTCAGCAAAAGCTTAACTCAACCACATGTTCACGTTCTGCTGTTAGCATTTAGCTCAAAGCCCCGTGTTTCCCACGTTTTTATTTAAACCTTAATTTGTGGGGAAAAAAATAACTAAGATTTTTTTTAGTCAAACAAGTTTTTCCAGATTTATGCTTTTAACTTTGACACTCACAGTACAATGAAAGAGTTAGTGCGCCTGTAATGTTTCTTCCAGCCCACACTTGCTGTAAATTGATCCCTTCCTAATGCAATTCCAATTTTGAGTAATGGGGGATAAGAGCCTTTGGCAAGTTCAAGTTAGCCAAATCAAGTTGGCGTCGTCTAAAGATAGTCTGTTTAGCACGAAATTCCCTCCTAATGTTACTGTCATTCAGTAAAGACATATGAGGGAATGAAAGATAACATCTAACATCTGCTGAAACTGCATCGGCTGAGACGCAGTGGGCTCTAAACATGAGCTGGAGATTATGGTTCCCATCTGTAATATTGAAGTTCTGATTGTTTCTATGGACACTCGGGGTCGTGTACGTGAAAAGT